TGTATTCCAGTTTATACAGAGTTTTCTCACAGGGGTTGCACTGAAAGGGCAGGATTTCCACCCAGTTCCTTGTCAGGATTCAATCCAGTCCTTACTGATACACCATGGAAAAAAAAGAAAAATAAAAAATCACCACACAGATGAAAGGTGAACTGCCCGGCCTTTTCCTGAGGCTGCTGAGGGGGTAAGACACTCCATTTCCACTTGCTGCATCTCCTGCCAGCAGGGGTCCCAGTGATGAGGTGGGTCCCATCATTACAACTCAGACTGTGAGCGTGAGATCCGGGGCCCCTTGCGGATTTCCTTCCTTTTCTCTTCTTTCTTTCTGCGTTTCTCTTCCTCTCGGAGGGCCTTCTGGAATGTGTCCGCGCCAGGAAAAAACTGCAAGTAGAGGGACAAGCTTGGTACGCACAATGGAAGTAAAGGGAAATGCAATTGTAGCAAGTCAGAGGTCTCAGAATATGCCTCCCCTCGCCCTCCCCTCCAATCTCCTCCCCCCTTCCCAGCTACTTAATTAAGCCTCCAAGTACACAGAGTGATAGATTCTCTGTGCACATACCCCTGTGATAGCCTGGCTGATTTCAAGGGATTTACTTCCAGCTAAAGGCCTGATACAAAGCACACTGAAGTTAACAGGCTGACACCAGAGGGCTTTAAATCAGGTGTCAAGGAAGAGACAAACCAGGTCCTAATACTTCTGAGAACAGGAACTACAGTCCCCATTTTGAAGACCCGATCATATAAGTAGGGCAGGAAGGGACCTTAAACGTCATCTAGTCTAGTCCCCTGCTCAAGGCAGAATTGTCCCTGACTAAGCCACCCCAGCTAAGTGTCTGTTTAACTTGCTCTTGAAAATGTCCAGGGATGGAGATTCCACAGCTTCTCTAGGCAGCCTGTTCCAATGCCTGATCACCCTCATTGTCAGAAAGTTCCTCTTAATCTTCAACCTAAATTTCTTTTGCTGCACCTCGAGTTCTTTGTTCATAGTCCTGTCCACAGAGAAAAGCCCATCTCCATCCTCTCTGTAATCATCCTTTGGGTATTTAAAGACTGTTATAAAATCCCCCCATAGTCTTCTCTTCTCCAAACTAAATAACCTTAGGTCTTTCATATTTTCCTCATAACTCTTGCTTCTGAGGTCCCTAGTCTTTTCTCTTGCTCTGCTGGACTCTTTCTAATCTGTTCATATTCTTCTTCAAATCTCAGGCTCAAAACTGGACACACAACTCCAGTTGATGCCTCACCTGTACTGAATACAGTACAACAGAAGAATCACTTCCCTTGATTTGCAAGTGACAGCCCTATTAATACAACCCAGTGTGCTGTTAGCTTTTTTTTTGGAACAAGAGCACACTGTTGACTCATATTCAGCTTATGATCTACTGTAACCCCAGGTCCTTCTCTGCAGTGCTGCAGCCTAGCCAGTCATTCGCCACTCTGTATTTGTGTGTGCAATTATTCCACCAAACTGCAGGATTTTGCACTTGTCCTCACTGAATCTCATCTGGTTGATCGCAGATCATTTCTTCAAGCTATCTAGGTAATTCTGGATCCAACCCTACTCTCCAGAATGTCTGCAACTCCACTCAACTTGGTGGCATCTGCAAATTTGCTAAGCATGCACTTGATCCCATTGTCCATATCTTTAATGAAGATACTAAACAATTTCAAACCCAGAACAGACCCCTGGGGAACCCCACTTGATACACCTCCTTCCCAAGTAGATATTGAGCCACTGATGACTATTCACTGAACGTGATGATCCAGCCAACTGAGTATCCATCTTACAGTACTTTAATCTAGCCTGTAATTCCTTATCTGGTTAATGAGAATGTCATAGGGAAACAGTGCACCTTGCTAAAGTCAAGGTATATCACATCCTCTCCCCTCCCCAACATATCAATGAGCCTGTCACCTTATCACAGAAGGAAATCAGTTGGTCAGGCATGATTTGCTCTTGGTGAATCTATGCTGACTGTTCCTGATCAGCTTGTTCTCCTTTAGGTGCTTCACACCTGCTCCACGTTCTTTCCTGGTTTCAAGGTAAGGCTGACTAGTCTGTAGTTCCCCAGATCCTCCTGCTTCCCTTTTCTTAAAGATGGGCACTATAGTTGCCCTTTTCCAATCATCTGGGACCTCTCCTGACCTCCACTAGTTCTCAAAGAGGACAGCCAGCAACTTTGAAATTACCTCAGCCAATTCCTTCAGTACCCTCAAGTACATCCCGTCCAGCCCTGCTGACTTGAAAGCACTTGGCTTCTCTAAGTAATCCCTAACCAGTTGTCATTACTCTAGTTTGTTTGACTCCTCTCCTGGAACTCCTCTCAGGATATTGTCCCTCTCCTGCCCATCCAGAAATGGTATGAATAAGCTCTGGGAAGAGCTGCACCCCAAAGGACAAGTGGGGCCCACTGTGAAGACTTTAAGGGCAAAGTTGGAGATAAATGGAAGGGCATACAGACCTACCATTCCCCAAGTTCAGTGCATCTCTGCCGTCAGCAACAGGTGGAATAAACCTACTGTCAGAGCAGTAAAGTTCTGTAGGGTGGGGCAGCTGTCACAGCTATCAGGGGGAAGTGGGAAAGGGATTGGCCACCCACTGCCATTGTGAACAAACTTAAAATGGTTTGAAGTAAGCTCTGACTTCTCCCCCCTTCCCCCTCCCTGCCACTTCACCCCACTCTTGGCCAGTTCCTCACCTTTGGCCTCTCTACTCCTAACCCAATGCCTAGAGTACAATTAAAAAGGAGGAGGAGGAAGCACACCCATCCTGGCTTTGCCAACTTACCTCAGAATGGTCAGTTTTGAAGGGATTCCGGTAATCTGGAGATTTCTCACTAATTCCCAGCTCCTGAGCCATCTGCAGAGCAAAACAAAACCAGAGCTGGACAGCAGCATCTTTCACTCTGTATTATTGTGGCAACCCACATCTCTAATTCCTTCCTCTCCCCCAGCCTGATTTCTTTTCTTTCTTACTCGCTTCTCTCCTCTCAATTCCATCCAACCTTCCTCTCCCCATTTCTCTGACTCAGCAGCTGTGCTCATGCACTTCCTTCCCCCTCTGGCCATCTCTGCCCTGGAGGATGGGACAAGGCAGGGGCCAGGATGAATAACTGCAGCCTTACCAGTCCAAGCACTTGGGAATGGGGGCCCTGGTTAAACACTCCCGTCAGGTTGCAGAAGCCAATCCCCCAGCGGATCAGGTTGTTCCAGTTGGAGTTGCGATCAAAGTAATGGTGCACGATCTTGGGGAAGCGTAGAACCACATCTCCAAAAAAGGCAGTGTTTTCTACCACATGGGAATATGCTAAGGAACAGAGTCACAATGGCAGTCAGGAGACTAGCCCTGTTCTTTTAAACAGAAATGGACAGAGGTCACCTGCTAGCCATGAGGTGCTCAGGCTGGCCTTTATCTGCTTGGCCAGAGCAGAGGGAGAGGCTCCCCAAGAAGCTGCCAAAGGACTTCATGACAGTCCCACTTTAGGACTCCTTATCTGTGGTCCAGGCAAGTGCTCACACTCCACCACAACAAGCGTGGCAAACCCTGCTCTCCTTTCCCAAGCAGCAGACATAGCCTCATGAAGTCCAGGACCGAAAGCACTTCCTGCTGACTCTAATGAGCCATGTGGAAGATCATTCCCATTCCAACCAACAGGGAGTGGGGATGGAAGAAAGGGCAGTTTTGTCTCCTTCCCCTTCAGTCTACCTAATGCAGGATAAGCCACTACACTAAATTCCCCAGACACTGTGCCCAGGACTAACTTTAAAAAATGCCGGTGATGCAGCCTCTATCTCTTCCCACCCACCCTTGGGAGACTACTGTCTGACATCACAGACCCTGGTGTTAGGACATGTTATTTTGCTGCCCTGCCATCCTGTCCTTTGTTATCATTCAGCTACATTTTTAAAACCAATTCAGTTGTCTCATGGCAAACAAAAGGATATTTTGATAATCGAACATCAAGACCATTAAAAAGGAGATAGGGTTGTTAATGCTTGTGGAGGGAAGCAAGACTGACAGGAATCCAGTAGATGATAATGAGCCATGAAGTTCATTGATTCCTTTAGTGCTGCCTGACTAGAAATCAGAATGTTTCCCTCAGCAGGACCTGCACACATCTCTCTGCAGTCAGGCCTTTGTTCCCTCATATATCAACCTTCCAACCATCCACAGACACAGGTAGAAGGATAAGGGACAACACAGGCCTTGTCATCTTCCATCCTTGGGGTGTGATTTTTTTCAGAAGCTATTATTAGTCATCAACAGCTCCAAGACATGGAAATTGTCTGAGGTTCCTGTATTCATGGCATTGTAAGGGCTCTTAGTCCTCATCCTTCACGTGATAAATGTGCCATTAGCTAAGCTCAGGAAGAAGTTTCTCCCCCCGCCCGACACAGTATGTGGTACTCCACAGAGAGGTGCATTATGCAAAGTTGTACACATTCCACTGAAGCACCTGGCACTGCTGACTGTTGGAGACAGGATGCAAAACTAATCTGTCTTTATGGTTTCCAGGGCTCCCTTTGCAAACTAGACAAAAAGAGGCAGGCACTCTCTTTCCATGGGCCATTCAGAAACAGCAGCAGATTCTGTTCTGCTTCCCTTGTAGCAGGCAGAATCACTGGGCTCAATTCCCATTTCAGGACCTTCTGAACACCAGGAAAAATGATGCACAAAGCAGGGGAACTAGGAAGGAGAAAGAAATTTGGCCTGAAGTTTAAGGCCAAATGGACCCTTAGATCATGTAGTCTGACTTTGTTTAACAGAAGTGAAGGGATTTCAGACAGCTTCCCCTGCACTGAGCCCACCTGAACCAGCAAATCAGAATGGGAGAGAAAGCTGAGAGAGTAATGGAAAAGGAAACCAGGACTAGAAGTTGAAGTCCTACCGTCCTTTAGCTTCTCATCCTGAGGGAAGGGCCCATCGGGGGGCACATCTGCAGCTATAAGGACTGCCCGCGAGTCTTCAAGCACCTGAACATTCAGAAAGAGAACTCAAGTTATTCTATCCATCCCCAAGATGACCTACCTGCCCCAGCTTTTCTGCCAGCTCCAGCCTCCTCTTAGGCCCCAATCACCTCTCTTCCTCTATCCCTGGTGTGTATTTTGCTTGGTACTGCAGTGTGCTCCAACCTTCCCACCCTGTTTCCATGCACTGCTCCATCTCCTCCTACCTACCATGACCCAAGGAGCAGTCTCTAACCTTGCAGTTCACTTTTACTGGCCCTATAGGCCTTTATTGTTACATCTCCTACCTGTGCTCTCCTGCCCCCGCTTTGACATTCCTATTGCGGTGAACACTTTGGATGGGGACACGCTCTTGGGAACACATACTCAAATTAAGCTATACTGGTCATCTTCTTTGCTCAGTCAAAGGTTGGGAACCCACATCCATGATTAGAAGGTAAACAAAGAGCACCCCCAGCCCTAGAGGAGAGAGAGTAGCTGTGCTCATTAGACAACACTCACTTTAAAGAGCCCTTTCAGCATGATGTCAATGATTTTATATTGCTGGTTCACATCATTGAGCTCGATCAGGTTCTTCAGTGCATTCATCTGGTCCTTGCGCTTCACTTCAAACAGCTTCTTATCTGCAGCTCTGTCAAGGACACCACATGCCTCACTGAACCCCACTTCCCACTGCAGCCTAAGCACACAACATTGGGGCTCTCTTGAAAGCCTCCCACAGACATGCCACCTCCTCTTTTCCCAGGTGCTGGGCTAAGCTCCATGACTGATTTTTAAGTGCTTGTAAGTTGTTTTTCTTTTTGCAGTTCCAAAGTCAACCATTCCCAGCTGAGTTTACCCAAAGCACAGGTTACACTCCTGGATGCTGGTTCATGCAGTGCCCTGGAGGTAACACTACCCAAAGCAGCAAAGCCACTCCTGGGGCCTTTTTTGGTGCATGAAAACAGGATGCAACTGACTGAGCCAATCCATCTGGATTCAGCAGTTCTGGACTTCAGCAAGGCCTTTGACACAGTCTCCCACCCCATCCTCATTAAAAAATTGGGCGGCTGTGGCATTGATGCCTACACAGTCAGATGGATTGCAGATTGGCTGAAGGGTCACACTGAGAGGGTGGTGGTGGATGGGTCATATTCGACCTGGGGGGAAGTGGGCAGCGGAGTCCCCCAGGGCTTGGTCCTCGGGCCCGCGCTGTTCAATTTCTTTATCAGCAATTTGGACGACGGGATGAAAAGCAACCTGTTTAAATTCACTGATGATACCAAAATTTGGGGTGAGGTGAGCACGCTAGTAGGGAGGGAAAGACTGCAGCAAGACTTGGATAGGTTACAGGGGTGGGCTAGCTAAAACAGGATGCACTTCAATACTGACAAGTACAGGGTGCTGCACTTGGGTAGTAGTAACCAGCAACACACTTATAAGATGGGAAACGCCCTTCTTGAGAGCACGGAGGCAGAAAGGGATCTCGGAGTCATTATTACCTCCAAGATGAACATGGGCCGACAATGCAAGGTCACGGTTGGCAGGGCTAACCGGACCTTGTCATGCATCCACAGGTGCATCTCTAGCAGGGACAAGGAGGTGATCATCCCCCTCTATGCAACACTGGTCAGGCCATAGCTGGAGTACTGTGTCCAGTTCTGTGCGCCCCACTTCAGGAGGGACGTGGACAACACTGAGAGGGTCCAGAGGAGGGCCACCCGAATGATCCAGGGACAACAGAGCAGACCCTACAATGATAGACTGCAGGACCTGAACCTGTTCAGCCTTCACAAG